AAATAGATATTTATACTATAATAAAATAATAAATCCTATAGTTAAAAATAAACTAATAATAATTTGATAAAAAATAAGTAAAAATATGACTAAGTTATCTATTTTATCACAATATCTGAGAATATGACCCACACCTTGTACAAGTAGAAAACTATATATCCTCTCCGATTAAATCACATCCTCAGATTTCAATGAGAGGTATAGAAGCAATTCCTATTGTAGCAAGTATTTAATGTTACCACTATCCATATATATATTTTTTATCTTGTTAATTATTGCCATTATATGGTTTGTAATATTAAAATATACATGAGGATTGGAAAGGAAAAGTGATCGGTTGTGAGATGCTTGGGTCAGGTAGCTAGGTATTATATTATCCATTTGAACTTGAATATTATGTATATACAGAAAAAATATAATACCTTTTTAACCATGTCTAATATTTGTTATAGTTGTAAGAGAGTATCATCAGTATTATACACAGATTATATTGTTACACGCTCCTTTATGGTAGTGGGGATGAGATTTCGTGATGATCATAAATTTAAAAAATCAGATATCATCACTCTTAAACTGGAGCCTTCTAATGCATATGATAAGAATGCAATAAAAGTTATGGTAGCTGGCATCCATAAAGCCTATATGACAAAAGACGAGAATATAAGCATAGGAGATTTGATGAGATATTATCCTTGTTATTGGGTAAATGCTCATGAAAAAAAGAACTATAACCAATCAGCATCTTTAAATATCAAATATCCTTGGATGGTCTATGAAAGATGTTGTGATATGCTACAAGCATCAAGAGGTTATAATTATGGCTATTAGATTTAACGATCTAATCATATTTTTAGAAATAAAACTTAGGTAAATATTATAGAGTGTTTTATACCACACGATTTTAGATCTTTAAGCATATCATTCATCTTTTTTATAGCTATTTTTTTCTTCTCTATATAAAATGGTTCTTTCAACAAAAAGCGCAAATCATCAAGAGTTAATTTTTTATAATAATCTAACAATAAAGCAGATCCTGGAATAAGAATATTATCTTGTCTTGTTCTTTGATTTATTAAATAAGTTGCTAATGGATTTATAGGCAGTTTTTTATTCTGATTGTCATCATCACAAAATAAAATCAAATGAAAATCTTTTGGTCCAAAAATTGTTACATGATCATTATAATTACTTTGTAGTATTTTATTAATATCTCTTTTTTTAACATTAACTTGTTTTATTTCTGGAGAATCATGTACAGGTATATATATTTCTTGAGAAATTTCTTCTATAATAAGCTAATATTAATTTGGTTAACTTTAAATACCTGGATTTTTGTGTTATTCAATTTAAGATGGCAGGCTGTTGGGATAAAACATATAAAAAGCTTGATTTATGAAACCCAGATTGAACCTTGGAGGTTCAGATTTTTGTGCCATGGAATTTTGATTGAAATAAAGTTCTGAGTAAGTGCTTTCAATATAGGAGGTAAAGTAAATCACGGGAGTGTGAGACCCAGGGTTGTGTGATCTTGGAAATCTGATATATAGAATAAGGTAAGTGGTTGCATTACAAAATATACGAGATATTTGATAACCATTTTTGTGTTATATAATTTTAAATGATAGGATTTGGATAATCAGATACTTATCAAAGAGAGTTTTTGGGTGGTTATTGTTATCTGATTCATGTGCCTGCCTGATCGAGGTAAAAGGTAATATATAATAAGAAAAATTATGAAAATCTGATATATAGGTAAGGTAGGTTGATTGATAACTATTTTTGTATTGCATGATTTTGATCAAGGTGCAGTTTTGGGTAAGTGATTGCATTACAAAATATAAGTTCTAGTTAATATATAAGATAGTCGAGTTTGGAAATGCATATATTGGATTAGGGCTTCTAATGATACCATTTCGATACCAGTTCGATACCAGTTCGATACTCAATTTACTATAAATTTATATAAGTAGGTTACAACCCATATATTAAATTTACTATAGATCGGTACCATTTTGATACCACTTCGGTATCAGTTCAATACTTTTCGGAGCCCTATATTGGATTGATCAATATAAGAATAATTTATAGAGTATAATATCAAAAGTATAGATATTTCATGACTGTAAAGCAATCTATTTTTTTGATTAGGTATCAGAAAAAAAGTGATACACCAAGGATAAATAATAATTTGAGTAAAAAAATAATACACCAAGAATTTTTTGGGATGAGTAATAATTAGAGTAAAAAAAAGTGATATACCAAGAATTTTTCAGATGAGTAATATTTCAAATAAAAAAAGTAATACATCAAAGAATAATTACTACAGATATATATATTATAAAATTATACTTGATGTATTAGCAGATAGGATATCATTTT